AAGTACAGTGTGATACTAAAGAAATTAGCAATAAATATGATTTGATGTTTACCAAATTTGTAGCATCAACTACTAGGAGTAAAGATTACCTAAAATATAATCCAAATAAAGCCTTTGTGTTGCAAAGAAATTACATATGTACATACATACACGATGATGTATGACATAGATGAAATAGTTATAAAGGGACGAGACAAATGAGCGATAGACGGTATGACTACGAACTTAAATAACGAGGAATTTGGTACATTAACCACAATAGAATTTTTCTCGCTCGAGGCGTACAAAGGTATGTCTGTGAGACGGAGGTCGACGAATCATTCCGGGTTTGTCGATACTTACGCCGACGTTATTATTTTGATGGTTGAGTTACGTAGTTTTTATTGTTTCGTAGGAATTATTCACTTTTAACGGTCATAAGAAGATGTTATATTTGTGATGGAATTTTTATTTATTTTATTAAATTTATTGGCATTTGCAATGTTATTGGAAATTGTTAAACTTACGGTTTACTTCTTAATATAACTATGTTTGTAGGTCTAATCTTCATTTAATCTATACTATATTTACTATATCTATACTAATATAATAAAGCGTAAACATACACTTCTTTGTTGCCTAAGATGTCAGCAATTACAGCATATTTTTGAATAATCCTTTATTTAATAAAAAGCCCTACACTAACGTCACGCTTTAGGCTATATATTTCACACCATTAAACTTAGGGGATAAATATTTTGGATAAAAACCCTAATGTGGGAAAGAGACCATAAGTTCTTGCCAACATCAAGGAAGCAAGGTTTGACAATATGTCCTGTCATTTTGACATTTATAATTTGACAAATGTGAACAATAAAATGATGTTTTTATAATTTCATGCGGATGAAGTCGCATGGGAACTGCTAGTAGAAAATATTTATTTTAGGTTAATAAATTTTAGGGTCATTAGTCAAGCTCATCCATGACATAACACTCTATTTCGATGTAATATGAAAACATTACGTCAATTAGAAAGCGCGTGGAATGTAGCATACTAGGCACGTGCTCAAATCAAAGGCTGCTTAACAAATAATTACTTGCAATTGGAATGTAATGAAAATGTAATCTTGAAAATAATTAAGCACCAAAGGGAGCATTTTAAATTTTCAGTCTAAAGAGGTTCATCTTTTGATTTGTGACCATCATTCCAATATTAAGTGCCTGTCCCACCACTGGCTGATAGAGGTTCAGATAACTTAAAAGTGACATCACTTTCGAATAGAGTACCAAAATCCGATATTTCCATCACATATTCATTACGTTAGATGTTATCTAACAAGAATAAGAATTGTAGGACAGGCCCTTAGATATGTAATTTAGTAATCAAAACTGCTCTGCTAAAGAATCCTCCTACATAACTAATATAAGTAGGACCAGGTCATGTTATATGTGTAAAATAATTTAAATTCGAGTGGTACCTATACTAAAAGGTTAAGTCTATAAACGTTAATAAGATTTTATGGATAATAATCACTTCTTTCACCTGAAAAATTCCCAACCCGTAAGCGGCATCACGTGTCAGTGAAACCTTGACATTCCTGGTAAAAATAATATTCTATTTTGGTTAAACGACTATATCATTGGAAAGTAAACCTTGGACAGTACTTATAAGGTTTAAATTTGAACGGTGGTCGTATAATCGTTAGAAGACCCGCATTGGGGTTACGCTAGCCACCCCTGCTATGCGTTAGCGCACGTGGCTAGGGAGGGGTCGAAAAAACTCGAAGCAGATGTTTCTTTTGTGGGGTCGCCGGAATACCGACAAACATCTTTATAAATAGCGCAGTACGTTGGAAAACTTTCGATAACTGTATTTAAAACAAATATTCTTTACAGTTTAGGTAAGTAACTCCGTCTACCTCAAATATTAAAAGGGATATATCTCTTTGTTCTGCGTTTCTTTGTTTAGTGGCTAAATATATAATATTAGCGTGCAAACTAACTAGCTAATGTTTTGATAAACATTTTGAATAAAACAAGACTGTAGTACGTGAACATTAAATTTGTATATTCAGTTGGCAAATTACCTTACATTTTAATTATAAATATATAATTTATTTTATTGAAATAAATGAATTATATAAATCTCAAATCAAATTGTCGTTATCTGGAATTATCCAACAAGGATAACAGACGTAAAAAGGAATTAGACTGAATAATTGAAATTGTTTCGCTGTGCTACTAAACTATAATATTTCTTGTTTCAATTGAGGACAAAAATGTAGAGGAAATAGTTACAATACCGATTGCTATACGTATTGGCATCTCTACAACACACATATAAAGGTTCTCTGTTAGTGCCTGTTCAACAAATATTACAACAATATTTTACTACTAAATGCTAAATGTGCAAATACAAGTTTGAGATTTATTTAGTTGTTAAATGTAAGTTAAAAAGATAAATTTACACAAGCTTTGAAGTTCCTTATCAGTTCGGTGCCCTACCGTGACTATATTTTTTACCATGACTAAATCTAGTAAAAACGTATACTGTGACTTGTCTATTAAATATTCGGCCATGTGTTAAAATGTAAATGTTTGTCGCAATATTATCATTGAATTGTTAAAAAGAAAAAAAATGGCAACAAAATTTCCATACAAAATACATGGCTTTAGTGTTTCGTTGTGAATTTTCTTAAAAAACTGAAATAATCTAAAAAAAACTAGTGTTTAGTCTACTCTATTGTGGCTGAATATTCTTAAATAAGGGAAGTAATGTGTGAACAAAATCAATCAATATAGTGAGATATTGTCCGGTGACATTGGCTAATCGTGCGGCGTGCGTTGTGCTATCGTGTTATCACCGTAGTGAGGCCGGGCCAGATGCGCGTGTGTGCGCTCCGGCCGCGTATCGGCTGCATTCCTCACTATTATGTCCGCGAGATTCCTCGCCCTGCCTCGCCGAATGCCTCACTCCTCGACCGGCCAAATTTTTTGCGCGCTCCGTTCGCAAATCGAACCGGTAGGTACTTGAACTTACGATACGCTATAGTAACGTAGATTACTTGTCGATTTGTTATACACTTATAATTGTAATGGCAGTTTGACTGGAAAACCTATTTAATATTGCAAATATTTTCGCTTGCTTCGCAATAAAATTTTAGAAAACGTAAATTTTAAAGTTACGGTGAAATAGTTTTACTCGTATCATTTAGTTAGTATCTAAAAAAAAAACAAAAACAAAACAAGTAGGTATGATGTTGATAAGTACTCACCAAGCTTGATTCTCACGGCGTATCACAATAAACAGCCGATGTTCTTATATTTCACAATGAAGAGACAACATACAACACAATCAAAACTTATTTACGTAAAAAGTATTTCTTTCAGACCTTAAACGTTGTACAAAAACTTCATAAAGTTACAAAAACCGGCGAAGAACACGAAAATCAATAAGAAACGTATCGCGGTATGTATAATCAGTCGTTGTGTTCTAACCACTGGCTAATAAAACGTCCGACGCAAAATAATATACTGACTCCTACCGTCTAGAATCCATTGTTTGACAAGTACACCGTTTTAGTATTTGTTATTATTTTATAAAATCCAACTATCGCGCCACGACTCTGTTGACGAAATAGTCGCGTTTGACATTTGAGCCGAGCCCACTACGATTGGAATGCAAGGAATGTCAAATATTTTCAGTGCTGCCATCTATGTCATGGTATGTGCACTAAAGAGGCGGTCACTAGAGCTATTTACAATTAACATTTTTACTTATCTATACTACCATCAAAATGTTATTATCATCAACTATAATATTACTAAATAATTGATTCGTGTTTTATTAAGAGTTTTACATACGTTTGATGGTATAGAAAAATATGAAAGTGGCGATGTATTCAAGGCATCGGAATGCGGCCAGGCTAAGTCCGCGTCTACAAGACTACCGATGCGATGCGAGCAAGGCGCAAGCGCGCTGGTAGGCCGCGTCGCGCCGCCTCTACCGCAGGGTTATCGACACATACGTCGACGCGAAAAGTAGGGTCGGCACTCTTTACTCTCTTACTTGAGTCTACTTAGTATCTGTTCACGTACCGTAACGTAATATTTAAACGTTTCGGTTCGTTACTCTACTTAAAAGTAATCGCTAGGTTATAGTAACTTTAATTTCTGGCGAGACTATTTTATGTACTTGATTATTGTTCAAGGTGTTTGAGAATTTTAGCTGTTAACGCCATCTGCTGGTGTCGTTGTATATTACTTGTTATTTCCAATTTTAAAGCTAGATGCCGCTCGTTTTATTTTGTTTGGAAAATTATTTTTTTAACACAAATAAATATTTCATTTTTTTACATAAACGTATATTAGTAGACCTAGTTGGTGGAGTGGTCTAGGGGATACAAGCTGATGGTCAAGGGTAAAACTAATATTTTTTTTTTCATTTCAAAGAGAAAGCTTATAAACGTCTGGTACAATTTTTAAAATTAAAACTGACGTTTTGTGGTTTTTGATTTATCAATGTGGATCTCTAGGATTGTCGTTTAATTTTTATTTAGATAAATTTTATATTTTTCGAGACTACATTGGTGTGCATCATATTTTTTATTATAGCATTAGACGCAACGTCTCTAAATAGGTACAACTATTAGGTTGGAGTGGATGTTGGTTGAAGTGGTAGGTAAAAAACAAATACATGACACAATTTTTATTTAATCTAACACATCATTCTTTATAAACATCAGTAGAAACTAATCGCATGTTTAACTTAAAAAAGCAGTAGAATACAATATATAACACCAATATATCCATTAAACGCTATAAAAGTAAAAAAACGGAATCTTTCAAGTTTTATAAAAGAAAGGTATTTTTAAACGAAACAGTGTTTTTAAGGGGCTTGAAAATTAAAGTAAAATTCGATTACATGTCACAATTACAACAAATTACGATGCAAATAATAAATTAACCAACTTTGTTGTTTTTATCGGATATGGTAAAAAAAACGTATTATGTTATGGCAACATTGGCCACACAATTGACAACTACTTGAAAGAAGTTTTTAAGCGACATTTATAAATAATTCATAAACAATAATTTAAAATTATTGAATTCTTAAACAATCCAATAAAAGTTTTCGGATACACAATTTTTTTTTTAATGAAATCAAACCGTCAAAATTTTATATGGTTACTTAACGCTTCGCTTAAATATTATAAGTATATTTAATGGATATTTTTATAATAATATAATAACAATTTTGGTATAAATATTCAAAACATCTCACTTGGGAATTAACTGGGAATTTCACCCTAGGACTTACTAAAATATCGTAATATTTTTGGTTCCACATTTCGTACGTTACAATACACTATCAAATATTTTTACTTAATTTTAAAAATAATTTAAGTAAGGCGGGAACATGTTTAAAAACACAAAACACAATAGTATGTTAATCGATAAGAGGTTTTGGTTCAAAAAACGACTAATTAAAAATGCCTAAACCAAAAACTTGTGAAATATCATAAAAATTAGGTCATACCAGTAAACTACATATTACGGCCAGACATTTGTATCTAAGGCTATAAAATTATAACTTAATTTTTGTTTACGTAAGTAGTAATAGTTAGTCACATATAATATTGGTAATTAATTAAAATGTATCCTATAATAGACCGTACAAAATAATTAATACAAAAACACTTTCTGTGTGGTAATGAATTTCCACCTCTAAAACAAGGGTAAAAACAGCTTCTTGTCGCTATTTTTTTTAAGAAAAATAAAAAGGATCGCACTATAACAATTATTGAACCGCCTTACAAAATCATATAAGATTATTATATCGCATTTCTAATGGTATATAGTCGAACCTGAATAAGCGAGAGTCCTATAAACCGCGATGTTTCTCTCACTTATAAAGATAATCCCAGTTTCTCGCTTATGGAGATTCCTTAGCCAGTTCTCGGTTAACCATGTTCGACAGTTTTATTTACCTGTGACAATAGCCACATCAAATGCTAGTGCGTAGATCTAAGGCTAGTCTAGGACAGACATCAGAAGCAGTGCCGATTACCTTAACTATATGGCACCATCCTACAAATCATCTTCGTATATTTATCAAATTATATTCCTAACTATGTAATCATTCTGAATTTCGTCGTATCCTACTAAATCTATACATATAATAAAATATAAGTGTCTGTATTATCAAAAGAAAAATTCCAGATTTCGGGAAGATAATGTGTTTGCGTTGTTGATAACGAAAATAGCATTTTTTTTTTTGTCTATCTGTGTCCCTAAGCCGCATTTGTTTCGGGTAATCTCTTAAACGGCTGAGCCGATTTCGACGGGTATTTCACTAGAGGGTAGCTAACATAGATAGGCATATTATAGGCTACTTTTTTTTTAATTCCGCGATATCAAAATGGCGTAACGGGTGGTCTAAATTTGCGCTAACGAAGTTTCCGGGAAATAAAATTTGCAACACTATAAAATAAAAATGAAACAATTATGTATTGAATCATAATTATCTTGTGCTTTTTGAAAATGCATTAAAAGGTTACATTTAGTAAATAATTTTAAGCAGTTACACAAGTTGTAATTACACGTGACATTTACTTTCTATTCTATCTAATCTAAACAGTTAATAATTAATATACGCGGGTTTTTATTGCCTAAACACATGTGTTTGTTATATGTGATTTGGCAGTAAAAATCCACGGTAAATATGTTAACCTTTTTTGTTACTTATAAGCAATGTAAGTTATATTTCTGTCTATCAGCTTTTCAAATAACGCGGTAAAAAGTTAAACTTAGGAGTAAATTGAGTATAAGCTAAATTTGTAGTAATACTTGGTTATACTCAGTTTATTCCTAAGTTTAACTTTTTACCGCGATTATTTGTGAGGCTATTTGTATATAAACTGATTTTATTATATGTATACATATGTTACCCAACTTTAAAACTTCAAGGGGACGGTTTAAGCTTGTCAAAGAAAAGGTAAATAAAGAAAAATGTTTCATATAGATAGAGTAAGTAGTAAGGATATAAAAATAATTTATAACAAAAATATTAGTTACTTAGGAATATAACAAGTGTGATATTTAGGAATTTAGCTTTGATTTTATATTTTTGTTACACTACTTACTGTCTTGAGAAGCCTAAAAATAATTTAAAAAATTTGTAATAATTGGATGGATTAAATTAGTTACTTGACTATTTTAAAATAACAGAAATATCGCAAATAAATTATTAAAAATCAAAGCCTTTAACCTAATGTAATTAAACGACAAGTTTTTATTATTCTGAAACTTACACAAAATAATTACGTTGGCAAATTAATATTAATCGGAATGTATATTTTACGCAACCTACAATACAGTGCTCTAAACATTTATTTATTTATTTTATAACTATTATTACAATACTATTCTATACTTTAGTCATTTGGTATCAATCAAGTCGTTTCGAAGATCTAGGAAATATAGATTTGAAAAAATCTTTTAGTCTCGTTTGGACGTATTTTTTTATTTGGATTAGCATTATTTTGTAATATTCGATAATTTTAACATTAAAATTTAACAAATATACAACATTTTTGATGTTTCGATGAAAAGTGCAAAGGAAAAAATGCTATGTTTTAAATATAAATAGTAAATTTTAAATCATTTTGAAATGTACAATCTGTCTCAAAGATAAGTTCTTGGTTTGCTAAAAACTTCATTGGTGAAAATTTTTCAATGCTAATCTAAGAATGATCTAAGTTTTGTCAACTGTAATATTTTTATGTATCTATCCCTCGTGTAATCAGTGCTTTAAAATGATATGTTTCCATACAATTTACTCATATTTATGCTATGCATAAATTTATATGCAGAAGAACTAAAAAAAGTAAGAGATTTGACATTCAACATTAAAATAAATTCAATATTATTTAAAATAATTATAAAAAACAGTGTATGACAAATTTATTTTACATGAGATTTTATACATTAATTATTATAACCAAATAAAAATGTCTCGTTTTTGGGTGGGTCCTAATTTAGTTCCTTGCGAAACACCATACTTATATTAACAGTAATAACAAACCGTATATTTTTTTAAAGAAATAGTTGTTTTACGAAAAGCAATGGTCGGTCACGTGACATGAGCGGGCGGCGATCACTGTAGTCATAGTCTTCTGGGGCAACTCCAGCGCAGGGCAACATCCTCAAAGGCCTCGTAGAAGACGAAGCACCGCATCTGCGGCATTGACTTCTTCTTACATCTAATGGCCTTCGCCACCACCACACGCCTTCTTCAAATTCGTCGTATACCTTATTAGACCTGCAACTGTCGTAGGTGTCCCTTGACCAGGACGATGATTCGCTGTCACAAGGAGTTACTGGTGCGCTACGGGTCGGTTTCGGTTCGTAATTCGAGTTGATTCGTTCTGTGTATGATCCGCGTCGCTGAAATTAAAAAATAGCCTATGTCACTCACTGATAACGTAGCTTTTTAATGGTTTATGAATTTTGGAAATCGGCTCAGTAGTTTTTTGTAGTTTTTGAGTTATTTCAATACATACAAACCTTTCCACTTTATAACATTAGTTTAAGACTAGCTAAACTAGTAACCACAATAGGCAAATATAACGTTCCTCTATGTTTACTGTATTACTTACTTTGTTAAAGTTAAAATGAGGCAACTTAAAGCGTCACACTTCCTGTAGAAATTTGACAGGACACACACCCTGGCGGTTATCTCCGGATCTGATCATAACCATGCCGTCCACTTCATCACCTACTTGGATTACGATCTGATCACGAAGCAACATTAAGCCATTGTCACCATCAGATACCTGGAATTAAAGATTATTCGTATAAAATTAAAATGTAATGCAAAACACGTAAACGCATCTCAACTCTTATGATACTTACTTGAAGGTTGTGAGTGACTTGTAATGGCCTCTCGCCAGCTTGTAGCTTGGTGCAGTATTTAGATGGGAAGTAGCCAATCTTTCCCAAGCACTTGCCCTTCCACCAGTCGGGGTCCGATGTGTCAATAACAGTCACCTTGTAGCCTGCCTTCAGGTCTAGTTCGTCTGCGTGGCGCGACTTGAAGTTATACAGTATCACATACAAGTTCGTTGGTAGCAGTCGCTGATGTTTCTGTAATTACAATGAGGAAGTATTATTCAATTTGTTCCCTATTTGTTTCTGATTGTATTTCTGGTTCTATTTATTTCATGTTAAATTGCAAATATTCGTAATAAGAAATGTCTAATATAGTCTCGATGTAGGGGTAATAGCTACGATCAGATTACTGCTGTGCATAGTTTTCGATACCTCTTTAATTACCGATCGACGATGGAAAAACTTTAAGTGGAAAAGTTTCGTTTGTCAGCGAAGATTTAGTAGAAGAAACCCACTAATCGACAGTTTTCTAAAACAATTAAATAAGTAGGTAGAAAGGTATTTACACTAGGTTGTTTTACAGGCGAGGGGCAGGGGCTGGCGCTGTTGGAGGAGAGGCTCTTGTCAGGCTCGTCGGGCAGTTCGACGCTGCTCATGCGGCCGCCCCGCGCGCTCAACAGCCGCCGGCTATGCACCGGGGATGAAGGTGCTGTGGACACCCGAGAACTCGCCTTCATATTTTATCAACAATTCCTTTCACTGACTTACCTTTTGACGCATTATTGATGTATTACAATTAATGTGTTTCGTTTATTTGTTTTAAAGAGAAATTTCTTTTATTTTCACAAAAAGTCTACAGTATTATTTAAATATTTAAAATCAACTGCTTGACGTGTACATTCAATACCTATTGTGTTTTTGAATGTTAAAGTATTTATTCCCGAGAAGCGTCATGGCTAGGAGCACAAGTTAAATGCTCCTAGCAATTTTGTTACATAGTCATTAGAAGTAGTTTTAAACTGACATTGTGTTACATTCTATTGTTTTATAGTTTTTGTATTGCAAGAATTTATTTGCAGGAATAGCGTGGATCTTGCTAGGCTTAGACTTGTATGAATGATAGTTGTTAATAGTGATACCAAATCAAATGTGGTAAGTTTAATGTAGTGTTGTTTGCTACTGAATTTGATTTAGAATTTCATGAACAGAAAACGTAACCTATTTTACGACGGTATACCTCAATGTCCATGATATGATAGACGGTTTTTCCGCATTGGTAAAATACGGAGACTACTCATCGAGATTAGCATAAAACAGTTTTAAATATTTTTTTAATATTCGTTTAATTTTCATTCCTTTTAATCAATTACGTGTTTTAGAGCGAATGATATTAGCTCTAATTTATAGCAAAGTATCTAAACATAGCATATTAACCTGTTTACAAGTTATACTTAATAAACATGCAACATGCCCATAACTTAACCAGATTACGACTTATCTCTTAATAATACCGGCGACCAAACAATGTATAATATTAATAAAGCGATAAGGCAACAAATGGAGCAACTTTAACATATCGTGTGTGTAATGTAGTTAGTGTCGAATAACTAAAGGTTCCACTAACGATAACTTGATAAAAGCATCAGCCTCAATGTAGTTTATTAATTTAAAACTATTACATTGTTTAGTCTTTTACCTGTCACAGTATAAAAGGTACAAATTACATGAATACAAAATAAATAATTAGAGCCGATAAAGGGATGTTTTGAAAATGTAATCCTTTTCTAAAATCATTTATTTACATTCCATCTGGTCCTAACGTAAAATAGTTTTTGTTGAAATCCACTATGATTTTAGTATTGATAGATATATAATTGTACCTTTTACATTATTACACATATTCAAAGAAAGAAAAATGAAAACGTACATGATTGGGAATAGTTATAAATCGTGCGATAGTTTATTCTATTTGAACCGTATCTGTTAAGATTCGCTCTTCCGTTACCTAAAAAACAATAAAATTGAAAATAAATAACATGCAAAAAATAAAAATAAACAACAAAAATGTGATAGATAAACAAATGAACACCAATAACAACCACAGGTTTAAGTGCGCGAAGATACCACACATACTGAAGACGAGGAAATCGTAAAACATTGAATTTTGTCACATTTCGAAGTCGAAAAAGCACCATTTGAAATCATTAGGTACACAATAGCTATACATAGAGAAGCTAAGCTTTAAGGTAGTAGGTGAGAGGAACACGTGGACACAACATCGCATTGACGACAACAATCTATAATCGAGTTCAAAAGACCTTTAAAACTCCAATCATTAACAAATATAACAAAAGAGACATAACGTTCAGTCTTGAGCCAATATTATGTAAATTGATCTTTAAAAATGGTTTATTTTTTTAATCAGCCACCATTTTTAAAAGTGGCGCCATTTTGTACGACACTAGCGCCATATTTGTAAGGTCGTGTGAACTCTTTGATGAAATGTTACTGATCGTACAGAGCACTCGGCTGCCCTGCGCGGGCTGGTCTCGCGCCGGCCGCCGCCTGAGCTCGCCGCATTCAGGTGAATCCAGCGACAGACTCTTCATCCTAAGGTTCAACTTTTGACGTCTCGGCGAATGAGGAGCTACAACATTTACGACGCATAAGCATTACGAAACTTACCAATCTTCAAACTTAACGACACTCGATTTCCAAGAATGCAATGAAAATGATATCTGTGTTGATATTTCTGATTAATACATGTTATAGAATTTCGTAAATGAATGTGAATTTTGAATTAATTTATTCTTATTACATGATTCGCAAGTGTTACCTACTTATATTAAGTTTACCTTTATAATAATGTGACGAGTGTCTAAAATTAAATGTATAATAATGTAAGTGATGTCACGAATATTAGTAATTTAGCAAATTATTAACACTATGCCTAAATAAAATCATACCATAATTGTTACTTTATGCTTTTGAACACAATATTCGTATCATCAATTTAAATTTAAATGAATAAAATTAAATATATTATGAACATCAAAAAGTGTGCATAAGCTTTGCAAACCAAAATGCTCTAAATAAATCCACAGTAATGAGTTAAAAAATGCATACGTTCCGTAAATATCAGAAATAGGTTTTATCAAAACCAGCAAACTACGCAAATATTCTACAAGATTCAACAATGAAACTGTAACTAGTGACGTCACGCCGGTACGTGGTCGGACAGGGTAGTGACGGAATGTGAACGTGAATGATGTATTTGTACAAAATGATCGCTTATGCAACGATTATAACGATCGAAATTAGGTAAAACAGACTACGGGGAAATCGATAAAGTTGCCGATATCTTTTGTGTACCGGGTAAGGGACTGGTGCGGTCCGTCTGCCTCAACATTTGGGCACTCTTCGAATTCCTCATCGAACCTGTGTGGACAAACGGGCACGGATCGATCAGTATTTCAATACTTTTAACTTTGATAGTGTATGTTCAAAACTTGTATTACTTATTGGATATAATTAGCTAAAACACATCTGTTGGAGTGAATCATTATTTGCTTCGTTACTTTAAATGTGGGCGTTATGAATGTTTCAATTATTTTATTAGGGTCAGTTATGAAAGACGCACTTGTTAGTACCAGGAGTTAATAAATGCAAGAGATTTACATTGCAAATAAGTAATCGCCAAAGACAAACGCATGCGATCCACAGCACGCCTCACCAAGCCATGCAACCACTTACCAAACGCCCAAAGGAAACAGGCGCATAAAATTATAATGCATTGTGCATACGGCAGGGGATCCAGAAAAAAATCTATTTTGTTCTGATTTTTATTGTAACAGTAACAATATACATATCACAGAACGCGGGGCGTTTCGGGGTATTTATAATTGAAATAATTAAGAAGCGGCAATCGCCTCTGAGTTAGTGCTCTGTCACGGTGACCGGACTGTGTCAGTGCTCTCGCTTTTCTGGGGTAGCTACGAAAATTATTTTTTCTTGCGAACGCTGGCCGTCGGCTTGAGAATCGAGGGCGGCGGATCGCCGTTCTCTTTAACGAAACAAAGGGGCTGCCCGAAAGGTCGCGTAGTTGTCTCCTCAGATTCTGCAAAGATAGTCCCCAAAAAAGAAATAAATAAATAAAAATAATTACAATAAAATAAAAATAATAAAACAAACACAAATAAAATAATAAGAAGTGATAGAAAGGGGTCGATAATGCACAATGTCTCGCCGCGACTGATCATGAAAGCCCAGAGGCAGGACAGGGTCAAGCAACTATAGTGCGGTTACCTAAATGTCGAGCTATAACTATGTTCGCTCCTATTAACTAACACGTCTATCGCGTACAGATAAAGAAATAAAAGTAAACAAAACGAAACACACAACGAAAAGTTACACTGGAGCCCATCAAGACAGGGACAAACAAAGCTGAGTTGGCAGTTGTGAGACAGAGAGCGTTGCGCTACAGTCGTGGGCGCGTACTTTCCGGCAGAGAAACGGATCGGTGCTGCGGCGAGCCGCGACGCGACCTCGAGCCCCACATGGACAAACTCTTGACGCCGGCGAAGAGCCGCCGCCGCACGCCGCCGTCGGGCCGCGGCGCCGGCGCCCCTACGACAAGCACCGCTCAGTACCGCCCCGAGCGCCCCGTCCCGCCCGCCCCGCGCCCGCGACCCCGACTCAAGTGCGTGCAAAACTCGACACTACTGGAAACTCGTGAGGTGAGAAGCTGCCGGCCGCGCGGGTCGCAGCGAGCCCGCGCCGCACCTGAGGTGGAGGTGGCGGGCTGCGGCGCCACGGCCAGGCCGGCGGCGGGCCGCGCCGGCGAGCGCGCGCCGCTCGGCTCCGCAGGCGCCGCCACTCGCACTACCGGCCCGCCAGAACCCACCGCCCCTGACGCCCCGCCGGGCTTCGCTATTTCGTTGGCGCGCTTCAGAACTTGGTAGGTCTGATCCACTTCCTCCTCTGAGCATCGAGCGAAATGTTAGTCGAGTCGCGACGGGTGGGCGAACGTGTATATTAGTGGGTGGGGTAGATGTTCGCTAAATGCGAATACTAATGTTAGTTCCACGGATGCTGAACTAATGTGCAGGGTATCACGCCTCACAGACTGGTACTGTACCCTCGTCGTAGTAGCTATCGAAATCGTCATCGAACTCGACCGATCCCTTGAAACAAATCTTGGTTAGTCTGTGTCCGGGCAGCCGGCCGTCCTCCGCCCCTGAACAACGTCAACATAACTTCCGACGTGTAACTTTAATGCACCTGTCGTAGCTTGTTTGTGTTTGACTTCGAGTGGTGAGAGCTTCTGGACTGAGCAGTGTATTCGTTGAAACAGTTCATTTATGTAAGATTCAAACGATTGTGAACATTGAACACATTTTGTAGTGTGAATGTGCAAACTATGCATTAATTTAACATTTAAACTATTTCACAATCGCAAGATTACTATGAATATTGAGTCAACAATGTATAGAATGTTTTGTGAATTTTTTTAAATAACATTTTACTATTTAACAACGTAGTGTGTAAGTGCTGAAATTTGAGAGAAACATTACACATCTCTGTATATAACACACAATGCACGTTGTTATAAATTTATAAACAATGTAATCAAGAAAGTCACGTTTGTGTTACCTTAATTTTCTTGATCTGGAATCTGCTCAAATAGATCCAAAGTCATAAAGCAGGAACACGTTCGTAGCAATTGAATTTTGTTATAGTATTAAATCTTACTATAATTGAACTGCATGTTATAAATGTTGAAGTAGAGTAAATATAGGTAAATGTAGATCCTAAAAGTGCGAAAACTTACTTTCTTCGTCGAATGCTGTGTCTTGCACTCTATGCGACTCTATTTCTGAGGTGCTCTTCTGTCTGCGCAGGAGCCTGGACTTTGTCTGGCACTTGCCGACCTGCGGCATGCAGTCAGTGTGCACGTTCATCTTGCATATGCGGCAACGAAGACCTTGACGTGTGTGACCTGGAACAATAAAATGTTTTCATTTTATTTTTCTAATATCTCAATGCTTAGGTAACAATACTGAGAAACTGCTTTTTCTTTTCTTGTTCTCTGTGTGTTCATACCTGTTTTCTTGTATGCAAATCTACCTAAAAATCCTAAATACTAAAAGTTACAATTTGTAGTTTTAACATAGACAACAATTTCATCACTAATGTATTATATTAAGTTTCATCCGACGATGTTGACACGCACAGCTAGTATTTCATAAAGGCGTGTCGCTTTTGTCTATCCGTACTGCAGTTATTTTTTAGCCGCAATATGATTTTATTGCGCAAAATACAACCAACATTAAATTTTCTAACAATAATAGCAAATCTTACAATCAACACATCGAAATGTTATATGTTACGTACAAAATAGGAACAGATTTTAAAAAAAACGGCGCCACCTGAATAATCTTTTTTTTTTTTTCTCGATTTATTGAAATTTATTTACCAGATAAAGAAGTAAATAACGTTCACATCAATCCAAATACTTTTTTCTAATTTTTTCTTTTGTTTTCGTTTATCTAGAATACGAGATTTTCTTGGAACTAGGATTTATAGGAGATAGAAAAATGATATAAAGACAATCTTATTTACAGCGGGATTGGAATTGAAAACAAAATAAAGACTAAAGTTAATTCACTACGGAGCCTCGAGGGAGAGATCTAATTATCCAGTTTTTTTTTCTCTTTTACTGTGAATTACATTCCGTTTCGTTAAATTTTCATTCCATGAATCTAAACTTGTAATGATGAAATGTTTTAACACAAACATTAAAATATAACGATGTTTTTAGAAACAGAATCAACATACTGACTTAATATGTCTGCGTTTTTGTAGCAATACACGTAGAATAGCATTTACAGAATAGATATTATCTAGCAGTTAAATACCACGACCATGCAGAAGACAGGCGTGAAGTGGAAGCAATTCCGTGTTTCGTTTGATGAGTGTGGTGCCAGAAGCCAAACTTTAGTCCCTTTTCCCTTCCCACCTTTTTCCTTATACGAGGAGGATGGAAAGGGAACGTGGATTTGCCGGTGCAGGAGACGCATAGGTAGAGGAAATATCCTGTTTACGTGCGTATCCTCCGTCGATCGAGGGTAGTCAACGCATGCTATTCCGAATGTCTACGGGCAGCGGTCGCTTCGCTAATTTGGAGAATTCACGTAGCTGCGTGCTCGTTTACCACTTTTGGATATATAAAAAAAATCGAAGTGCGCTTATAATAAAATTAATTTTATTCATATTTGTAATATATTCTACTATACAATGTAATAATAGTACAGTATAATGATAACGCTCTAACGCTTTCGTAGCTTAATTAGTTTCGTGTTTACTAGAAAACTCGTGGATATTAATATTGTCAGTGTTTGTTCACAATTAACTAAAGTGTAAATATTTACATTACAAATTACATAGAATTAACAAATGCTTTACAAGTATTAATTAAGAACCCTTTTATAAGTTAACTTGCTTTCCTGAGCGGCTTTTTTTAAATCATGAAAATTTTATTTTATTATTTACATTTGTCAAATTATGAATTTCAAATGTTAAAATGATATGACATGATGACAAATCATGGCAACCATGCTTCCTTGATGTTGACAGCTCATAGTTCATGGTTCCTTACTCACATGAAGGTATTCTTCCAATTTATTTATCCCCTTAGCTTAATAGCGTAAAAACAAAAACCCTAAAACAAGTCGTAGGCGTAGGGCTTTTTATTAAAGAAAGAATTATTAAAACATATGCTTTTATTAGTTTTCGCCCGAGATACCGTCCGCGTGGAACAAAACAAAAATGAGTAGCCTATGTGTTCCTCCAGACTATCCTCTATATCTATGCCAAACTTCATCGAAATCCGTTCAGCTGTTTATGCTACAAAGTCTAACAAACATCCATCCATTTAAACTTTGATTGGTGAGATCCTACGGCACAGAGTAGTGTGTTTACGCTTTATTATATTCAAGTTAAAAAATTAATTGTGTTTTTCATATTTTTGGAAATTCCGTGAACATTACACGATTATGTGTGCCACATTGGCAATTAGTCAAGATTATGATCGATGCCCTCAAGTTTTTCTAAGCAACGTGCTATAAAAACGTTAACGAAGTTGCCACTGGTCGACCTACATTGTCAGTGACCCGAGTGTTCAGAATTTAGCCCTCCGATGAAAATTACATTTTAGGGCTAAAACTAACCAATGAATTATTTTAAACCCTTTAAATGAAATATTTTGGGGTTATTTTGTTATTATGTGTTCGAAATACTTTTGAATAAAGAAAAGGTTAAAATTATATTTAATGTTTAAGCGTTTTATCTGGTATTTATAATTGATTTAGTTTGAATTTCATGTAACAAACGTTAACTTCTATTAATTCCATTAGCAAAATTATTTATCTTACTAATATTATAAATGCGAAAGTTTAGATGGATGGATGGATGGATGGATGTTTGTTAGCGTTTGTAGCCTAAACGGCTTAATGGATCTCTATAAAATTTGGCACAGGTTTAGAGCATAGTCTGGAAGAACACATAGGCTACTTTTTATCCCGGGAATAGTTACGGTTCCCGAAGGATTCATTAATTTAATTTTTTAATTTTTGCTCGATCATTCTGCAATGGTTCAACATATCTTATTGAAATTTGGCACAGATATAAAACAAAGTCTGGAGTACACATGGAATAAGCTTCATCCCCGAGAAATGTCCGGTTCCCGAGGGATACCTAACTTTTTGTAATTTATATAGTTTGTATGTTTTCTAATACCACGCGGTCGAAGTCGCGGGCAGCAGCTCGTTTACAAATAAACTTCATGTTTTTAAATCGAGCAAGACAACTGTTTGAAAATGGAACAAGGTTTTATTTAATTATCTTTAACTACATGAGAGTTGTGAAGCGAAAGAACGAAATCTTAATTATATAGCTTTTTAATTCAAACTTAACGCTCATACTGAACACACGTGTATTGTTAAAAGCCACATTCCAAAGCTAAGTCATAGTGTGGCTCGCATTCTGAAACTAAATAATATAAATTAGTTTTTTTATTTTCTTTTTTTACTTTTAGTTAATAATTGGACGGAATTCTTGCATATATTGGTAAATAAAGTCACGAACATAATTATTTGCTTGGTTACTACTTTTTAATTTCTTATGTGTTTAGGTAGAGATCAATTTTTGATTTATTGGAAAATCTGTTCATAAATGCTTGTTAAAAATAAACTCGGCTCTGAACTATATATTTTTGATTATTTTGATTCCAAAATCTGTTAGTAGTAAAATATTTTAAAACCTCAACGTCGATTGCCAAACCTCTAATCGGAAAAATTATTTCATAGTACTTGTATTTAAAAAAAAGCAAATGCAAAAAGAATTTTTAGGATTGAGAGGTTCAATATCGACGATACCTCTGATTTATAATCGCTATTCATAAAAGTATTAACTAGTAGCTGTTGCTTGCGGATTCATCTGCCTTAAATTCAAAAAAGATAACATAGCTTTTTAATGGTACAAGAATTTTTAGTAATAGGTCCAGCATCATTTGAGGTACTTAAATACAAACAAAAATCCAAATCTTTCCTCTTTATAACATTAGTATAGAACATTATTGTTGGTAATTTAAAAGAGTTTAGTAAAACGATTTTATTTAAAAAGACTAATCTTTTATGGATGTTCATTACGAAGTTCGTAACTGTAAATTACAATTAACAAAGGAAGGCTAAAAGTCCCTAGTTATAAATAATCTAGGTTAAAAATGATTGAGTTCGAAAACTTTCTCTCTTCGCAAATTAAGGCGTTGTTAAAAGAAGTTCGGGAGAATCACGTCGATTCTGAAAGTTTTATACGACACTAGAATTTTCATGCGCCAGTTTAAAATGTGGTTTGCAATAGTCGTGCCAGGCAGCGATCGAGGAATCCATATTATCTTTTATTACCGTTACTATATTTCTACGCGTTAAAAGTGACTCAGTAACGGGCTTAATGACCCTGAAAACGACCTTTAATATAGACCTAGTATTTCGAACAACAAATGACGACGTTGCCTTCGATTCAATTAACGTAAACGATTTCTTTGGCCATTAAAATGCAATTAATGTGTATTTGAAATATAACGTAATTAGATAAAACTTTAATAAAGACGGTTAAATCAGTTCTTTTGTTAATAAGATGATTACGTTGTTTATAACAAATGTATTTTGCCCGGTACTTTGGGTCCAGTTGCCACCTAAATAGAATTAGTGAGGCTTCTTATAGTAACCAATCAAAACTGGATAAGCCAAAATATCTGGAGAGTCATTGTCTGGTCCCGACGAATAAGAATCCATAAGCGCGAAACTCGGATTAAAGTAAAATCTCTTTAAGCAAAAAATCGCGATCCCTTGAACTCAATCTTACCCAGGTTCGACATCACGATTTCTGTTACGCGCAGCTACGAGCTACGACACATTCTAGAAGTTTATTTCTTTTCAAGTAAACAGTGACTAAAGATTATATCAGAAAATAATTTTATTTGCTTAATATGGGAATAAATCCAATCAAAATAATCTCGCGAAGGCTTAAGCCGAAGCGGGAAAAAGATTACAATCGCGTAATCCTTATTCTTGCCTTTAGATGGGTGTTAATAGCATCGCCAATCAGACGATAATACCCACGCTATGACTATATCCCATTTTGAACGCCTTCCATATATACTTAAGCTGTTCCTTAGTGTGCACTTATACTAAAGTTAAAGAAATTTCTGCCAGCAACCTACCTCGTAAGACTTGTGAACAAACGTCACAAGGTGTGATCTTCTTGTATGTATATTCCTGGAAGTTGTGTGCTTCTGAGTCGGCACCGGAACGCATTGCGTCACGGGCAGCTCCGTTCCTCCTAAAATAGTTAAACACCATTAATATTTACATTTCTCAATTGATTAGTATACATACAATCGTTGAGTAAAATTAATATCGATCATGGTAACTTGATAAATTGCCTTTTAATCTATTGTAGTTTCAAATGTTAGAACAAACTTTATTACTGTTGGTTTCCACTGTCCACTTATAGAAAAGTATTGGCAGCCCTATCATACTGTTTGATAAAACTGAGATAACAATATGTTAAGCAGTGGAAACTGATGATTATTAAGTATGTAAACATGTTTGTATAAGGGTATGCAAGCAGTGGAGTCTCATTGTCAGTGTATTGGGTCATTTATCAAGCTGGTATTTTCCAGTCACAATCATGGTTAACAAATACTAACAATACTTATACGTCAGAGATATTGATCGATGACGTCACAAGGTCAAGAGTACGGTGTGGGGTGAACGGCGTTCACCGCCTGGTACCAGCACAAATGACCCTGATATTGGTAATGGCAATCCTACAATCATACTCAAGAGCTACTGATGCTAAATAATTACCAACAAAAACTAGCTCGATATAACTCATAAAGTGCTTGAAAACAAAATAACTAAGCCATAATTAACTATGTTCAATTTAATCAAAAATATTAAGGATCTACAAGTGATGTGACGAGCTGGAGTTCAAATAAAACGAATACAAAAGTGTTGAAACAAGGCGTAAACCTACGGGGTAGTGTTACCTCATGGCCATAACTGTAGACACCGCGTGGTACATTTGATTTTTTCTTTATTGATGCAAAAAGAGAGAAACATCGAAATGAACATGATGAATGTGTTTAATACAATAAAACAAGTGCCAAAGCATTTTTTCAATTGTGATTAATTTCTCAGGATTTAGTAATTTATTAACTGTGGGCTTTCATTCCTGAAATATTCATTTTAAATATTGACGTATGTTTTTATATGAATGTTTTAGAAATGAAATTCCACTCTGATATTATCATATTATAGATTAAGTGTTGTATCTCAAGTAAAGACTGCCGTTTTAATGTGTTCTATATATTAAGAATATTACATTTAAAAAAATAAAAATAGTTAACTAAGATGGATGTATTTCGATTAACGAAAATTTTAAATCATACTAACATTTTAAAAGTGTAATGAAATTATTAAGTTGTCATAATTTAGGAAATATTTACGAAATCTTTTAATGTACACCAAAGTACAAGTAACATGAACATAAATAAATATTCTATTTATCAACGAACCAAACATTTATTTGCTTCTTCATTATCTTGTTCGTGCACAAATAAACGTTAGTACAAAGCGTCGCTATTTCGACACCTGAATATTCTGACTGAACTTTCCTGTCTAAATAAGCCTCTGGAAGGAGGGTACCTCGAACTTAATTTGCATGAATCCCTTTAATGAAGTATTCTAAAAGTTTTACAATTACAAGTAGGATTTTATCTATCTATACATATAATACAATTGGAGTGTCTGTTTGTAATATCAAATGAAAAAATCCAGATTTCGGGAAGCTAAATGATTCGCATTTAAAAAAATCGGCTGGGCCAATTTCGACGGGACTTTCACTGGAGGGTAGGTGACATAGACGGGCATATTATAGTCTATTTTTTTTTAATTCCACGCTGTCAAAAGTTGTGTTAATAATGATAAGAATGTAATCCATTAATTAGTATTATGTTTGGTAAGAGCCTTTAGAAACCATAAAAAGGTATAGCGGATTGATGTCTCTAATCTCGTTTGTACTTGAGAATGCCACGTTGACTAGAAGTAAGAGTTTATATTTGCTACGAGTTGTCACCCGCAAACTTCGTTAGCGCAAATTTGGACCACCGGTTACGCTATTTTGACAGCGCGGAATTAAAAACAAAACAGCCTATAATACGCCTGTCTATGGCAGCTACCCTCCAGTGAAAGTCCCGTCGAAATCGGCCCTGCCGTTTCGGAGATTACCCGGAACAAACGCAGCTTGCGGACAGACAGACATAAAAAAAATTAAATGCGATTTTCGTTATTGGCAACGGAAATATAAAATCTTTCCGAAATCTAGTATTTTTCTATTAATATTACAAATAGACACTTCAATTTTATTATATGTATAGATGACTTGGGTCTTAAGTTTAGAATCCCGTTAATTTTCTACGATTTAAGAGGATTTAAAAAAAAATATTAAACAAGTTTGGTATCTCAAAATTTTATTTATATTTCGGAGATATGAACGAATACTGTGTGTGGTGTTCGTGTCGTGATTGCAAATCGTTAGGGGTTATCGAATATTAAAATGAATCTGGTTCAATCAGGGCCAACACGACTAGACTGGTGGAAATGTTTCCGATTATGTTCTCTCGTTAATCGTTCGTACATTTTAGAAAGCAAAATGTTTTAAATTAAATCATCTAAAGTAATGAAAATTACTTATTTCTTTATGAATATTTGCTGTGGTAGTAATTTTAGTAGACGTGAAATATTGAAATGCCAATTTTAAAACTGTAATAAAAAAAGAATTTATAAATATCATGCATTTATAAAATTAATATTATACATGTCGATATGAAAGTTTTCTTTCCTTCATATAGTTACGAATAATCATAATAGAAAAGGACATGAAATGTCCATTTTCATATGAATGTAAGAAAGTGTATGCACAAATGTTTGGTATATTTTAATCTTGTGTTTTTATTTCTATGTTATAGATAAACATGCGATAAAGTTCATCAAGTGTGTTGAATATGCTTTGAGGAACGTTAGAAGCGGACGTTATTATTCCCTTTTTAATTGAAAATGTTATGCTCTGTTTGTACAGCTCGGTAAATGTCAGATTGAAAATAATCTTTATAATGAAGTTATTGTCACAATTAATAAAATACAGTTCAAACAAAAAAGTCATTTATATTAAGCCATTAAGTGTTTTAACGTTGTTTGATTATTATTTAAATAATTCTTATATGAAAAGCAGCAAATCTAACATAAACTAACCATTCCTATACAAACATCCGCATCCGTAGCAATCAAAATAACGGATGTGTTGCCTGTCTTTATGAGGATACAAATTTATAAACAACAGATGAGAAACGAATTGGTATATCAATGTGAAAATATTGATTACTTTACTTTTTAAATATACTTTTAAGAAACAAAAACATTAATAAAATATTTTCTTGCGATAAGCAAAGATTGAAAAGTAGCCTAATAGGCTCTGCAACTTTGTTATAAAGATCTGCTCCTTTATATAACTTGAAATTGTCGTGGTTTTTACAAACATAATGTTCGTAAGCTACGGGTTTCTTACCACCATTGGATTGTTTTAGTTGCCGATAAGCCAATCGTGGTAAGAATCCCGTATCTTACGATCATTACATCTACTTGTCACTAAATTAAGTTAGGTAAAGTACATTAACTTATGTATAGTAATAATTTACAGGTATAATAGTATTTACGTAATATGAAAAAACCTGTGTATTTGTTATATTGTTGTAAAATATGAATAAGCTGTAAAACTTACTTGTCCTGCGGGCCGGGATGGGGTGGCGGCGCGCTGGGTGGTTTCAGGCTGCGGAAGGCTTTCAGCCATTTGTTCTTCATGCTGCCGGCTGACGACGTCGACAGCTTACGGTCCACCGCAGAGCTACTATCAGCTTTCGCAGCGAAGAGCTCCCTCTGTAAACAAAGGGAATTTTAATAGAGAGATATCATTTTTCTTTTACTGTTGTTTTAATTATAGTCTAATCAATCTTTGATTTTGGAAGCTTTCTAATTAAAAAATCTATACATTTATAGTTAGGACTTATTCTTTTTAACAATGATTTACGAGTATATAGATTCTTTACATGAATAATAATGTTGTTGCTGTATAAAATCATATGTGATTATTCTACGTTTATATCACGTGTTTATTCATTAAGAGTTTGCTTGAATATTTAATGAACGTCGCTTCGATTCTGAGAGAGAATTATTGACATGTCACCACCTTCTACGCAGCGACCGTAAATTCAGTCGCACGTAAAAGCAGATATTCCTCGAAATATGATAAAAGGTAAACATTAAATACAACGGTAAACAAGTTTACTATATCAATTGCGACATTATTGTGACTTGTAATTATTAATTACTAGCTGTTCCCGTGCGACTTCATCCGCCTAAAATTATGACAATTTCATTTTGTTGTTTACATGTTCAAAATTACACAACAAAACAAATGTCAAAATGACATGACATGATGACAAACCTTGGCAAATTTGCTTCCTTGATGTTGGCACATTAGGGTTTTTATCCAAAATTTTTACCCCCTAAGTTTAATAGTGTGAAATATATAGCATAAATCGTGACATAAGTGTAGGCCTTTTTATTCAAAAATATGCTGTAGGTGCTGGCATATTAGGCAACAAAGAAGTGTGTATTTACGCTTTATTATAATAGTATAGATTTATGTGAATCTATAGATTATTAATTAAATAAACTATGGTTGTAAAATCTTATTTCTTATCTATAAAATATCTAAATGTACTTAATAGCGAGATAAGAGTTGTTACATCATATTATAGGTACGAAATTTCAATGCAAAATATAAAGTGCTGTATGATGAACGATGACAACTACTCAACTTGCCGCGTCTAAAGTAAATGGGTTCGGAAATGAAACAAGAAACCCCTCGGGACAAAACGTGATGTTAATTGGCGAAAATCGATCGATTCAAATTTAAGATAAGTTGCACTTTTCGTAGCAGCATACTTTTGTATGAATTAAGGTTCTTGAATAGACAGACACGAATAACTAAATGACAAAAAATGTACCTTTGGTATCTCCTCTGTCATATCCATATCTTTACAAAACTTTATTTATAATAAAATATAGCCTATGTTAAACAGTGACAATAGCTTTCTGATGAAAGAATTTTTGTAAACCGTTTAGTATGTTTGGACCCAACTAAACGCAACCAATCAAATATTTTCTATTACAACATTAGTATAGATAAATTGTTTCTTTTAGTATTAGAGTGAACAGAATTTGCACGAATTTAGTTTGAATAATGAAGTAGTACTATTTCGCAAAATACGCGCAGAAAGTTTAAAGGTTATCGCTCATTACATCCACTCTGCAGCACAACGCGGTAACCTTGGAGAGTGGGTGTAATAAGGAATGACATTTCGACGGATGTTTTAGGATCCGCAGACACTATTGCTAGCTCATCCTATTGAATTTAGCTCTATTCCTTGGATAAAACATTGCCAGTCGTAGCTCTTAAAATGAGAGTGGTTTCCAAGAAGATCAAGTCCGCGAGCAAACAGTTTGCCGCACAAAATCCTCCGAGACTAGAAGATTGTGCGCAATTAAAAGAAAACTTAATCATTGTAATGTTAAGTTCTTTTCTAAAGGATTAAATATAACATGACTTTAGTAAAATTTAATTAAAAGTTAAGTTTATGTTAAGACGAAATTTCAAAGTTCTTGACTGCCACAGATTCGTTTTGCAAGAATTTTATTATTTTATTTTGAATTTTCAACTACTTAAAAAAGAATGTATCGACGATCTTCTCAAGTATTTAAAAATAATTGCATTGAACTAAAAATCCTTAAGTATCTTGTTATCGAAGTACATTGAACCAACGTACTGCGCTATTCCTTTTTGCAGTCTGTTATGCTAATTCGGTCATTTCCATGTCTTTTATATCAAAAGGTTTTTCAACTTTTTACACAGACAAAGGATTTCATTTTGCATAGCATGCAAGATGTTAAGGACATAATCTTAACCAGAAATCCTTTGTGAGTCACCATCACTATTTTACAACAGTCTTTACATTTATTTCACTTTTACATAAACTTGAAATGTACATTATTTTTACTATGACGTGTTTTACAACTGTGTAATAAATAAAATGCTTTACGCTTAATTGAGTTTTCTTTCCTACAAATACCTGATTTCAAATCCTTCTTAATCAATTATGGCGTTGTTTTTTATGCTCAATCAATTTTTTTTTTAAAGATTTTTTTTATTTTAGTCGAATGGATCCGAACCCACGACCTCAAGATCGGTAGTCAGTATCCCACACTATTAGGCTATTGGTACTTAAAATTACTCCTTTACTATGTGTTTGTTATGTTTATATTTTTTTTAAGTTTTCAGCTTTGTATCATATGTTGGTAATGTGCAGCATCAAACGTATTCGTGTGCATTTGGCATTTCGATTGTCTCATTAGTGTAATTGGAACACGATACTTGTACGTCCTCTCACCGTACATCCAATTACACATTTAGAATCATAATGATTTCAATTTAGAAGCTGTTTTACGGAATAATGAACCTTTAAAAGGGAATTCTATGTAAGTTGCTTGAATTATTTGAGAAAAAGAAACGAAAGTTTGGCGAAACGTTCTCATGATAAAAAAGCAAAATGAAATATGTATTATATGATAATAAATGAAGATTTATGTGATTGAAATTATATTTCTACTATATTGTATTATCTAAAGATGTAAACATTGTAAGTTAAGTCACACCTTCCCTTGAAAACGCGAAGCTAAACGTGAATAAATCAAGCTTCGTTATATAAGAAAATAAACTTCAAGGCAATGCTGAAATCGTAGAAAAGCAAACGGTATCAGTCATGTAAGTGGCACTTTCCATATTTTACGGGCAATAATGGATTATGCCTGGAAATTGAATCCGAAGACAATAATAGTTGAGTAATGGTGTTAAAGAAGTGAAGAGCTTTTAGCGCAAAGACAAGTTTTGAATAATCTGATATTAAATTACGACGGCGAGTTTCCATTGTTGAAGTACTTCAATATTAACATATTCCTATCTCTTACATTATGTTTGAAAGAAAAGGGACAATAATGTTTTTAATTTTTTTTAGATAACATCCGTTGAATTTTTATGTAATTTTCCAATTGCATATATAAATTGTACTACAGATTGTACGATTATTTATGATTAGCTGTTACTCACGACTTCACCTACGCAAAATTAAAAAAATAATAAAAAAGTATTCTATATTACTCAATGATAACATAGCTTTTTAATAGTGCAAGAAAAAGTCGATCCAGTAGTTTTTGAGTTATTCCAATACATACAAAAATACAAATCTTTCCTCTTTATAATATTAGTTCAGAATGGTACATATTCGAGTAAAATAGAATAGACAAATGTTAATTGCTCTTTATATAATCGACTTCAAACCTTCAATAAATCATTGTTACACCACATAGTTGTTCTTCTTTTGTCGCGGACAAAGAATGCTACTTGGATTGGTTATTAATCTCGGTAGAAACTTCCACGTCGTCTCAAACTGAAGAGGCGCAGGAGGGTTGCTAGTTTCAAGATATATCGTTAAGTGCCTTCTCTACACTAATGAACATTGTTTGTACGATAATGCTGATGACATGTGCAAAGTCTTCGGTAAACTTCTTGACGTATATCAGATCTAGTCTTTGATATATGGCCTTGGAGAACATCTTTTGTTTATGTCGTAAGATGTACTTTGAAATCGCAGGTGCCAGTACCACCTTTTGTATTGCAATGAAGTGAAGTGTAAATGTTCTTACTAGTATTGTAAAGAAGACCGTAAAATACCTGCCACTAAAAAGAATGGCAAAAGGCTAGAAGATAAGACTACGATATAAGAAAATTAATAAAACAATATTACTTAGAACGTGCGCACATCTTTGACTAGACTATTGCACAACTGTTTAGTCCCGCTTTGATTTCTATGAGCTTATATGGAGGTGCACACTACTCGATTTTAGTAATGCAAATAAACAGTTGAATGGGCTGCAAAACAATCGACAATCGCACAACAGTTGTGTGATGGTTTAAAAAAAGTTGTGCGCCCGCAATAATCAAACAATGTTAATGAACTAGATTTGTGGGAATACTAAAAAGTTCTAATTTAATGCTAGCGATGTAAGTCAACGATTGCGTGACCCTGTACTTCCTTTTCAAGTATTGTAGCAGGCACTAAAATTTCAGACCACTAAACTGACCACAATTAATCAGAGCTTTATCGGCGAATTCAGACGTAATGACCTAGTTAGAAAAACGAATACATTAATGGTTTTCAATTTTAAATGTAAACGAATACTTTTAAGAGTTGGAGTTACTTTAAACAAATATAAAGATAGACGCGTAGTTTCGTGTCAAGCACAAATAAATGCGGAGCTATAAAGCTTCTTATCAAAAGTGAATGGGCGGCGGTGAAACGTTATCTGCGTTTACATTTCTTTTATTCGCTCGATTATACTGTGCCGTTCTTTATTTTGTTGTTCCCTTTGAGATTTCACCTTTATAAAGTAAGTCGGGACTCTCTTAATTAAAAGGAAAAAGGAGAATGTTAAACAAAAATTAGCTTTCCTCTGAGTTATGCGACTGGTTTTAAGAGACTGTAAACTTTCAAATTCATTCGAAGCAATTTGATGTATAAATAAATCGTCTGATTCGTTGTGTCTTTCTAAAGGAAAAGAAATGAAACGATATAATTCCTTTGTTGTCTGTTTACTTTGTGGGTATAAACCCTGAAGCGATACGTTTGAGACGTGAAGTCTCGGCAAGGTAGTTTACTTTGTAGATTGCTTGCTACCTAATGTGATAAGTCAGGTCGAGTCGACGAAGTCAATCAATTTTATTTTTACGACACCTCTTTCTAATCTTTCGCTATTTTAGA